AAGTAAATTTTTTTCCTATGAGTAATTTTTATCACAACCTTAAACTTTAAAACTTAAACACAAAAGCTGTCAAGCCATGATTTTCTATTACACTAATAGGATTTTTTGTTTGCAGACTGGGGAAGAGGAACTCCAAAAGGATATTACTGACCAGATGGTGTGGACACCAGATAATTTGGCCAGAAATGCTATTCCTAGAATCACCATGTACAAGCATATCATGCTCAGACCACTTGAGGTGAGTTACCCGGGGCTCCAAAAATCTGAATGACTCACCTATTAATTAAGAAGTGTAATTAACATGTACCTCACACATAATGCAGCTATTAGTTGGAATAATCATTTGAAATTAAGTCATTTCCTACACAGTATAAATTATGATCTTTGTCTTTGGGTTATATGGTCATGATGTACAGGGCCAATCGAGGTCATTGTTCTTGAACGATGAGTGCAGGGCCACATTTTGTCATCTTTTTATGATCTGTCAACTTTGGGCCAGGGCTGTCAGAGAAATTGTGTTTGTGTAAGAGTTGACCTTTATGCAGAAAGTCACCAAGATGTTATGTTATATTATTTTGACTGAAAATGTTCATGCCATTTCAATCTTGGTGTTGCTGTTCGGTCATGGTGCTCACATCAGGTTACGATTAATTTTGAAATGCCAAGTCAGAATGATGAGGTCATTCCACCATGGTTTGTAAAAATGGAGCCGGTGTTTCTGAGATACTGAAGAAAGTTTACTCTTCAGCGTAGAGATTTATCATTGTTTCATGTTTTGTCAAAATTAGACCAGTGACGTCTAAGACCTAATCTGAGATATACTGTAACTGCTGATAAACACATCAGTATAGCCTGATCTGAAGAACCAGTTTCATATTCTGTTCTAAATTAAATCAGATGCATGACCACTGACAAAAGCAAAAACACTTGGCTCACTTCATTTCACTCATTTTAGAGCCATCAGTTTGTAAGTTAATTATTATTTTTCCAGGACTACATGACAGACCACAACCCTGTCTACCTCTTGGAGCTGGATGGAAACAACACACCTGAAGAGCTGCACTCGGTAAAGACATAAATGAACCGTCTGCAGGAAAGATTTTATCACCATGTTGAGTTTTTAATTAGCAGCCAGTACTAGCCTGGTGTTGACATACATGTCAGACAGCTGTGTGTATAAGCATAAATGTGCATTTTCAACTACCTCTGTATTCTGTGGACTTACTTTACTTCACTTGTGTTAAATTTTTTGTCTCTAGTCTGTAATGGCCCGTCTTGCATCCATGGCAATAAAGCGTGTCTCCATTCCAGTCCGCCTCCACCAGCCTGATGATGAAGAACTGCCAGATGACATTGACACGGTCTGACAATAATAACCATATCCACAATTTATTTCAAAACACAACTCAGTTATGTTTATGCATAGAGAACACCAGTAGTTTAATCCTGAGTTCATCTCTTTTCCAGGAGGACCTAATGAGAATGATGTCCTCCAGGGCAGTGGTGCCTGGCTTTAGATGGAGAAGAAGCCGCTGGGGCCGAACTTGTCCTGTCGCTCTGAAGGCGGGGAAGGTCATTCCTGGCAAGCCTGAATTATGTGTGGGGTGAGTGATCTTTTGTAGGCAATATTCAGGTGAGTAATCTTTCCAATAGCTTCAAGTGAGACTGGGGTAACAAGTTAACCAACTGTTATTTCAACCCCTGTGTAGCTTCCAGGACAAACTGTACGTCCTCTCATCTCAAGAGGCCTACCAGAAGTTTGTCACAAACCCCCGGCGGTACTTACTTCCTCCGATGCCCAGGCCTCCATGCAGAGTTTCCATCATTGGACCTCCACAGGCAGGGAAGAGCACTCTATGTACGCTTCTAGCTCAGCACTACAATGCATTGGTGCTTGATATGGAGGTATTGGTGCAGCCAGTTCTGGCCAAGGTTGAGCAGGAAAGGCTTGACAGAATCAAAGAGGAGACAACACAGGTTGCTATAGAGAAAATCAAGATGAAGATGGAACAGGAAGCTGCACAGAATTCGGGCAAGTTGAATTTTTTTGAAATATGATGATATCACCTGTACAGTTTTTTGTATATTAAGTAAGAAAGTATATATATATATGTATAGTATATATGTATATATAGATAGGTAACACAATGTGCCAAAACTATTATTTCAAAAATCAGGCCTTCAAAATACCATGTATAAAGTATTGTATAAAGCATTATTTGTATTTTATGAACGTGTGATTTATATTGTAATACACAACAGTAATGTTTTGATATGTTATTTCATCAGATGAAACCAATGTTGTAGAAGGTAAGATGTTATAATTAATATATTTTCTTTACTCTTTTGGTGTCTCTCACGAACAAACACACATGCAGATAAACAGGCATGGATAAATGAACCCTTTTTTAAAATCTTGTACATTCCCTGTACAGTACATGTCACCAACGGTATTCTGGTCATGCTACATTATGTTGTGCTTCAGAGTTTTGGAGGTAATTGTAAGAGATTAGGTGGCATACTGGGCAGTATACTATATTTGTGTGCTGTTCTCAGTGACAGAGGATCATCCAGAGGTACAAGCCATGGTGCTCACTGCGCTTGAAGATGCCAAACACGTGAGCACATCTCCCTTCGGCCTGTATGCTGAGGTACTGGAGGAGCGTATAAAAGAGGTTTGTCAAAAATCTGAAACATGGCAGCTTCATTTAAACAAGCTTTTTGGTCCGGAAATGTGATCAGCATAGTTGCATATACATAACACACCACTATATTCAGGATATTCATGAATAGTCATCTCTAGAATTCTTTTGTGACTGTAAAAAAAAATGTATATATTCATTTTCTTAAGAAACATTGACTATAATTAACATACAGTAAATATCACCATTTCACCATATACAGTAAATATAATGTCAAGGTTAAACTTAACTTTCAGATTGAAAAGACTGACACTGGTGCAGATGTCAGGACTGGCTGGGTGCTTGACAACTTTCCCAAGAATTTTTCCCAGATGAATGCTTTACAGCAAGCTGGAATCCTGCCAGACATCCTCTTCTGTCTCAGAGACATTGATGGAAATCAGGGTACAAGGCACAGAAACAATGCATCACAAACAAGTTCGTTTTATTTAAGTATATAGACTTGAGTCAATATTCGATTTCTCTCAGTGTTCATGTATCAGTGCACATCAATGTGTTAAACAGTTTTGAAGAGATTGTATGAGATGAACAAGGACAGCGTGGATGACGCAGTGAAGAAGAGGTTGCAGGACGAACGATCTGAGAAAGATAAACATGACATGTGAGTGCTGGTGCTATGATCCTGAACAATTTCTAGGTTGTTATATCTGAAATGGATTTTTGAGCTTTTGGTTTTTTAATTTCTCTCCATTTTAGATATCAGAAGGAGCAAGAGGTAGAGGCCAAGCCTGCAGAACTGCAAGCAAATCTAGAGACAGTTGTCGAAGAGGCCGAAGGTACTGTCTGTCTATGTAAGGCAGCCTAAATTCACAAAAGCTCCTGTATTTTACCAGCATTGTTTTTAAAGCATTCATTAATTTCCTTTGTAGAGAATCTTGAACAATCTGACAACACCAGCCCTGCTCATGCTGACACAATCGAAAAGGAAGGTGAGACATTTTTATTACACGCTGTTGTTTCTCAGATCAAAAATTCATATTTCTATGACGTTATTATGAGAGAAAAAAAATATTCACTTTGTCATCAAGATGGAAATTCAGATCAAATAAGTAATAAGCAAAGGTTTATGATGAAACTTTTATATCATACTATTTAGGTATTATAACACTCTGGCCATAACGTTTCATTAAAAATACCACACGCTTTTTTTATTAAATTTATAAACCATACTATATGTAAGCACCTTTAAAGCAGCATTGAACTGACAAAAGTTTTTCCTTCTGTCTTTAACTCTCTCCATGTGTTGCTCAAGCTGTGGTACTACCTGACCATTGGGAGTTGGGTCATCCAGACGGCCCAGAGATGGATGACTATAAATTACAACTTCAACAGTTTGTGCACACATGGGAGCAAATGCAGTCAGCTTTAACTGTCGCCTACTCGGTACTGGAGATTGGCAGCAAAAGCCCTGAGGACCTGCTTCAAGAGATAGTCCTTCAGATGGAGAGTGAGTGTAACCCTTCATGAAGTACCAATCACAGTCATGATTTTCTGTTACACAACACACCTCTTTTTTTTTAATTGGTCAGAATGGGCATGTCTGGTTTCAAGTATATTAATTTCTTGCATATTTTAAAAATTATTTTGGGTGTTTTTATTGTTTCATCTTAAACCAGAGGTACTAAGACAATTATTTCTATAATATATGGCGCAGTAACAGTTGCATTCATTAGTATGTTATCTGGTATTGCTAGAATAAAATAATTACTATGCAAGTATGAAATTAAATAAATTAATATATATATTATACATCAAGTTACATCAAATTGAAGGAGTAACATTAGTCAGACATTGTTTTAGGTATGAACAGGTCATTTTTGTATTTAAACTAATTTTATTTTATTCATTCAATTTCATTAAAGCTAAACCCATAATGTACCAACAACATACCGTATCTTTTTCAATTGAAATTTTAATGCTTTCTCTAATCATGAGAAATTCTACTAAATGCCATGCTTGGTAAGAAAAACTCACAATCCAATCTGGTGTACATGCGTAATCTTCAGAACCCTTTCAGCATGTGTCCTGGGAGCTGTCAGTGGTGGACCTCGAAGAGGAGGTAGAGGATTTCGAGGCCTTAGCTGAGCTGGAGAGAGCCAGTGGCAGCAGTGAAGATGACGCAGCAGAAGAGGAAGATGAAGTCAGTAAACAAAGAAGTCTTTTAACTTGAACGTCCAAGTCAGTAGCTTTTTTGATTTTGTATTTAAACAAACCTTTAACAGCGTCTCCTTCCTTTCAATGAAAGCAGGGTGACACAACAGCAAAGAGATTATTAGGTGATACCTATCATTTCTGCCCTGTGGCGTTAAAAAAACACAACATCCTGTGGCCCTGTTTGGACGAAATTGCAGCCAAGTACCGCGAGAAGACCTTCTACTTCTCTAGCCTAGAAGCCAGGGACTCCTTCCTTCAAAACCCTGCACACTTTGTTGCACAGACTGAGCCTCTCAAGGTACCAGCTGACATGAGAAGAGAGAGAAAAAGTGATTGTAAGACAAAACAATAATCCTTATAACAAGAATCTCATGTTCTTCTATCAAAGCCTCCTGCCCTGCGGATCTTTATTCTTGGCGCCCGGGGGTCAGGCAAGACCACTTATGGTGAGTGGCTCGCCCAACAGCTTGGCATTTTCCATATTCAGTACAGGGAGCAACTCCAAATGCTCGTCATGGCTAAAACAAATAAGCGAGTACCTTATGCTGATGAGGTAGACTCTTCAGAGGAGTCTCCTGAGGACTTGGAGGCCCTGATAAAGGAAGCCAGGCGGGAGGAGGAGAAGGAGACGGAGGATACTTCTGCCAACATGAATGACATGGAGGTTAGCTTAACACTGTCTCTGTAGCGAGATTTTCCGTATTACTGATCCTCAAACTGTGGTTTAATTTGCTTTTGTGTTTCTACAGCAGGAAGTGATACTGACTGATGAGGAAAAAGCCATCAAAGCCTACCTGTCTGATGGAGATCCACTTACTCCAGAGATCCTGGATATGGTTGTTGCACCATACTGGAAACAGGAGCCATACAAGTAATTACACACACACACACACAAATGCACACTTCCTGCCCCTACCATCTACCCTCTACCCTAAAGTTTGGTATTTTGGGAGATGCGCTTATTAGCTGTCTTGCTGGGTGTTAGGTGAGAAGATTGATGCCACTCAAAGACTTGTACTTTAAAAATTAAGCTACTGGATTTATGGTAACCTAACTTAGCTGAGCATAAACACTGGCTTTCTTATGGTAAGAAAATACATCCACCATCACCTCTAAAGCTTGTCAAATTGTATCTTGTTTCCAGTCTTTGTGCTAAGATCGCTAGCTGCTGGTGGTGGCTTTATATTTACCACATAGATACAGAGAGGTATAAATCTTCTCATCTAACATCTTCTGATCTATTCTCCTCCTTGTAGGTCTACAGGTTTTATTTTAGAGGGCTTCCCTCATAACCATAATGAGGTGCAGTACATGTTGCAGGGACATCTTTTCCCTGATGTTGTGGTATTCATGTCGGTGGATGTGTCGGATGTTCAGAAGCGTCTTTTGCCAACGTACCTGGAGAACTGGCGTGAGCGCTGCAACCAGCGTGAAGCACAGCTGAACATCTTACGTGATCTACGTAAAAAGAACCGGGTAAGTATGTGATGACTTGGTAGAATAATCTTTCTGCCAACTTTATTATCAAGCATTATTCCTGCTGTCTGTCCTGATGATGACTATAGATTATGTAAGTATCAGGCCCAATTATAGCTATTTCTTTGGTACAGGAAGAGAACATTGCCAAGAGAAGGGCTGAACTCATTGCACAGCATGCAGCCAAAGCAAAGGTAAGCAAACTCATCATAACCACGGACATCCCCTCTCCATGACCCACAACCCCTTTTCCTCTTATCTCCAATCCCCTAACCAATCAGCTCAGGGATCACGAGGATGAAGAAGACGAGGAAGCTGCAGACAACATAGAGGATGAGTTAGAGGCCATGCTGGAGGAAGAGTTCCCATTAGAAGAAGATAATGAAGACACAGCGACTGAGAGTGAGAAGGCAGCATCTGAGAGACTGGAAATGGAGATAGAGGAGCGTTTTATGACAGATGAAGTCAGCCTCGTTACTGTGACGGTACAAAAACACAAAACCCAATAAAGACAATTCACCAGCCAGCTGCCTCTTTACATTTGGGACAAGTAGGAAAGTTAGGAAGCTACACAAGATACATCTGATTTACACTAGTTTTCCAATAGTCTGAGATTTATCAGCCATTACAATAAGTGAAACTTATTGAAAATTGTCATCATTAGACGTTACTACTACAGACAAACAAACCATTTCACATTCTGATTGCAAGAACACATCCTTTAACTTTACAGGACAGAAGTTGGAACTTAAATCTAGTGTGATCTGCATAATGTCCACATATTGTACTTTACTTATGCTCATATCTTCTTCTTTGTGTAGGAGCTCCTGAGTGAGCAAAACATACCCAAAGTGTCAATCAATGCATCTCGCAAGCTCCGGATCGTGCAGCATCAGCTGCTCCACAAAATCCAGCCCCTGCTGAACAACCGGGAGTCACTCTTCCAAAAATGTCAACCCATCTCCTACAGCCTGGCACATAAGCTGCTGCTCTCCTCGTACAAGCGTCACAGTGCATTTGGCTGCTCGGACCCCATAAAGGTAGGCATAATTTAAGAATGGCAACTATGGCCATAATTTTTGCCATTTATAAAGGTTCTAAGTTATTTCAAATACTATATATATATATATATAATAAACATGTTGATCAGCAGTAACATATTGTTTTACCCACACGCATCCCTCTTCTACAGCAATACAAAGAGAAAGATTTGATCCAGCCTCTGCAGTGGCCTCTCAATACCACATATCCCTTGATCTTCCATCAGTATATCTACTTCTTTGCGTCCAAGGAGAACCGCTATGCATTTATGCTGAACCCCTTGAAGTACCTTAGGCAGCCAACGCCCACCCCGTCCTTTCCTGTGAAAATGGCTGTCGTTGGACCACCCAAATCTGGAAAAACCACTGGTAAGCTTTAAAACAGCTAGAAAACTCAATTGTTTCTTTTCTCTCAAACACTTCTTCTTTCTTTTATTCACAGCCTTTATTTCAGTCACTTTGTTTTATCTCTCCAGTGGCACAGATGTTCGCTCAGAAATATGGCTTAGCCCGGCTGTCCATTGGCAGTGTTATGCGTATGGTGCTTGACACTCAGGCGCACACTGAACTGGCTGTCCAGATGAAAAAGCATCTCTCCCAGGGACACATTGTGCCTGATGAACTGGCCTTTCAGTGTCTGGAGGTGGCGCTCATGAGCTCGGTCTGTAGCATTCAAGGGTAAGCCGGTGACGTGTGTTCCATTTATCCGTTTATAGTTATTAAAGTTTCAAGATGAAGACTATATTCTTACTTATGACTGTTTAAAAATGTCCACATGCTGTACTCCTGCTTGAGGGTGTTTGTGAAGACAGTATTTACTTGTTTGGCATTCCAGGTATGTGTTAGATGGCTTTCCGAAGACACTTAAGCAGGCAGAGCTGATGGGGTCTCGGGGCATCATTCCCATGATAGTAGCTGAGCTGGAGCTGGACACAGTGGAAGTGCTGAAGAGAGGTCTTGTGGACAAGATGAAGCCCAACAAGTCAGAGAACACACATCAATAATAGCTAAGTCTGAAAACTGTTTAAAACTGCAAACCTTCGAAGTGAATTTAATTAATTCCCCTCCCATGACAGGCCTCACGTGATGCACGACAGCTCCGAGATCCTTCACATCTGCAACTCCTGTTACAAGCAAGAGGTGGAGCATGTGAGGCAACACTTCCAGCAGCAATATCAGAACTGGATCCCGCTCGATGGCTTAAAGAGCCGATGGTGGATCTTGAACAACATCGTAAAGGAGATCAGCATCAGCATGAGATACATCCACAGCTATCTGGAGAGTATGCACAGCAGTAAGTACCAGAAGCTTATCCAAGCATCAGCTCAGCAAGGCTTTGCATTGGAAACTTTTATTCAAAAGGATGTGTTTAATCTATATCACTCTTACTTACTTATCTTAATTTTGCAGGGCAAGCAGCCTGCATTAACAGACTGTGCATCACACCCAAGGAGCTGCAGTATCGCCTTGGAGAGTTTGACCAGTACTGCCCAGTCTGCTTGGTTCTATATCACCAACTGGTGGACTGCTCAGAAACTGAAGCCTTAACTCATGCGGCTGAGTACAGGGGACACTACTACAAGATGTGTGGCGAAGACCATTTAGAGGTCAGTGTAGTGGAGCTAGTTTTCAGATACCCAAATTCTGTACATGATTTCTGTCATTATCCAGTGGAGTTTATTATTTATATACCACTATGTGGACTTTTTCAGGATAAACAAAATAGAAACATTTTTAAAGTTACATTTATAATAGCAGATTAAACATTAATAAATAGTGACTGAAAGAAAAAATACATTTTTATCTTGCTCTCTCAACCACAGCGGTTCTTGAACACTCCAGATCAGTTTGTGACTCCTGGCTGCCCACACACTCTCCCAAAACCCCACCTGCTGCCAAGAAAGCTAACTGAGAGTCAGGTGAAGAACAGGTTCCCACAGCAAGTTGAGATGAAAGGCTTTTGCCCGGTCACTTATGTGGAAGGAAAACAAAGGTACACTACTCAACCTTATAAAGTTATAAATCTCAAAAAAATAAAAACTCTAACCAAATCGCACTTGCTTGAAAGCATGTGTTCTCCTCAAGTTCTAACTCAACAGAGAATGCTAATTCTGACACACATTTAAGTGACGCATTTAAGTGTAGACTTATAACTGTAGTTTGAATACTGATAATCATTTGGCATTAAATCTATTAATGGATTAATAGAGGTTATTATTTATCAGTGTTATTATACTTTTCAGTTTTAGGAAACTGATATTCACTACATTTAAGATTCCTTAGTAAGTGCATTTTGAAAGCACGTAATAGAAATACTAACGAGAAGAAATAATTAAAAAGAAACATTCAAGGTTCAAGTTTTATTTGTCCGTAGGTATGAAGCCCTGGTTCAAGGAAAGATGGAATACGCTGTGGAATACAGAGAACGGATCTACATTTTTGAGACAAAGCAGAAACAGGATATGTTTTTGAGGTGTGAAGCTATCTCTTTGTAAATTTCAGAAATGCTTTTCTGTTATTCATGTTTTCTTTTCACAAGGTATATTGAGCTGTATCAGTAGTATTTAAAAGTCTTTCCACTACTTTTAATAAAGACAGTGTAGTATTGTTTGGCCATTGAGTAGAGGTTGATATCTTATCTGTCAAGGCTTCCTGAAACCTACTGTGGCCAGAAGCTGCCCACAAAAGTTCCTCCTCTTTGTGAGCCTGTTCCCCTCACCTCCCTTCCAACGTTGGGCTACCTGGAACAGGTCAGACACACACTCAAACACACCTGAAAAACATCACAGTATTCTGTAATAATGATGTCTGCAGTGAGAGATTTTATAACATCAACATTTGTTATGTATATATGTTTTAGTTTTTTCATCTGCCCTGCTTTAAGTTTGGCCTATATATGTTTTTTAGGGCGTGGCAGTTGCAGTCATTAAGGCCATGACAGCTGTTGGCTGTCTCAAACCAAAGTATCCCTTCCTCAGTATACAAAGATCAGCACTCCTCTATGCAGCCTTCTATCTGAAAGGTAAGTAAAATGTCAAAGTTGTCTTAGGTAAATATAGAATGTGTGAATTTCTTAAACTAAATAAGGATGATGGTAAGGAAGTACTATTTTATTTATCTATTTACAATTGCTTTAGTACAATTGCTTTTTTTTTTTTACAGCTTTCAACCACAAGAGCACGGACTACACAAGCCATAAGTACAAAAAGAAGCTGGCTTTGTTTGAAGAGAACTGTGCGCTCATTCCCTACCTAAGCTCAACAATGGGAGGGAACTACAGGCCTGCCAGTGAACGTCCCATTGACTTTGAGTTTAAACTGAATAGGTTCCTGGCCTTGGGCAACTTGCCAGGAGACGGTGGTGTGCTGTAGTTGTGCCCGTTATGAAAGCTTGACTGTTGCCTGTTTTGTTGTGTGAAGAACTGTGACAACATGTAATAAAGCATTACTCACTGTCAGGGTTGAAAATGTTGCTTGGATTATTACTTAACCCTTGCTTATAGTTTATATACTCTCGAGGAAACTGCACTTCTCTTTAAAACCATTCTCAGGGTAATTTCCATTGATTTTCATTATATTTAGTCTTTATTTTTAATCTTTAGTCACCATAATGAAAGAAACTTTAAATGAAATGTTAAGCTACCTAAATGCAGAACATCGTTCATAATATCGTTTTACCTTAATGTTTATTTGTATATTTATTAAAAATAGGCCTGGCACAGTATTGATCACTTGCAGGGGGAAAGCAGCTTGTAATATGCATATGCCAGTTAGCAATGACCATTTACATTGTAGCTGGGTTTAACATTCAATATACTAAGTCATAACTAATACATTATTTGTCATTTTTTTTGGATTAATTGTTTATATTGAATTTCTTCCAGTGAGGCTTTATTTGTTTTGTGTACAATGCATACCAGAGCCGTTAAATTAGATTATGCTTTTACCAGTATTAAAACTATTTCTCAGTTGTCTGCGTTAACATCTCGTTAATCCACGCGAGATTTGTCGGGGAATACTGGGCGCGAATTCGATAAGTATTGTGGTGGCCCCCCCCTCAGCTGTGTTGTGTGTCCGGCTGCTGCGAAGCAGGTAAGCAGTCACTCCACAAGCTGTCATTCCAGCCCTTACAGTTTCTTGTAACGACGTAAAACTAACCACAACATACTTATCTTTTGTCTGGCTCTTTCGGTGTCAGTGAAACCATCTGCTAAGCTTGTAGCGTTAGTTAGCGAGCTAAGCTAGTTTAGTAACGTTGCTAACTTGACGTGACTCGCTAACGTCACTGTTGTAGTTTAACGTTACTTGCAGCCACTACTGTGTAAGTTGGGTGCCGTAAGACATTACGCGAAATAAGTTAACAAAACCAACAATTGTGAGGATAGCTAATTGTTTCGATGTTTAAAGTTCAAGTACCTTAACAGCTTGGCTCAATGCGAGGAACTGTGGTGCGTGTTCTCTTTCAGTTTCCTTTTTCCCCCCCAAGTACGTTAGGTTAGGTGCCAAAATGTCTAAAAGGAAAAGCAGCTCCGTCAGTGACAAACCCCACAAACGGATCAGACCTGTGGAGGAGGAAGAAGTGGACGATGCAAATGTTGATGCTAGTGACCAGGAAGATCGTCCACTGAATAAACAGGTTTGTACAGTCACTGCTGGAAAGCATTGTGTAGCTTTTGTTCCTACAGAGAAAAAGCGTTTTGTTTTCTTTTAATTCTGTCGCTCTGGTTTGATTATCTGAGAAAGTTATAAAAGGATCAGAAACTGTAGATGTATTACATTTGTGTCCTGTATGTGGCTTGTATTGGAGAGAAGTGACATAAATAAGTAAACAACTTGTGGTTAGGTGCAGGGTGCTGGTGAGGTGGTGAGTGACGCAGGGATTGTGGAGAGCATCACTTTGAAGAACTTCATGTGCCACTCTCTCCTGGGTCCCTTCACTTTTGGTTCCAATGTCAACTTTGTTGTCGGCAACAATGGAAGTAAGTGTACCCACTACCCTGTTAAATGGAAGGTATTGTGGAAATTGTCTATTGCTGGTGAGGGACTGAGCAAATAACTAACTGAGTTACAAGAAACCGTTGTCTTTGAAGAATTTATTAATAAAAGAGAATAAACAGAGAATTACTACAGCACAAAATCTGCCACCTATTTTCACCATTAATCAACTAATCGTCTAGTCTATAAAATGTCAAGAATGACGTCCCAGAGTGACCTCTTCAGATTGCTTCTTTTGTCCAACCAACAGTCCAAAACCCATAGACTCTTCATTTACTATCATAAATGACAAAGAATATCAGCAATTCCTTACATTTAAGAAGATGAAACCTGCAATGTTTCACATTTTTGCTTAACAAAATGACTGAAACGATTAATCGACTATCAAAATAGTTGTCAATTAATTTTCTTTCAAGCAATTAATCAACTAATCGTTGCAGCTCTAATCATGGGGCTCAACTACTGGTACCACAGCATTTTCTCTGACCCAGTGTCTCTGCAGGTGTTTATCCACTTATTCAATGATCATGTCATTTTACCTGTTAAAATGTAAGGATCAGTGGTATTTTGATGTACAGCTCTCGCATACCAATTTTAGTGAAATGTTTTGTTTTTATTTAAATGAGGAAAACACTTCTTTAAAACATTATTAGTGATTTTTAATAGAAATAGTAGAGCAGTTAAATAATATATTTGATAACATTAGGATCATAGCCACATTTTAACCATAGCATGCTCACCTTTAACTCTCATTTCAGCTGCTATACAGGTTAAATAAAAATAAGAGGTTACTAAATGTAATATTTTACTAAGATAGGGGGCAGACAGTATTACCATATGGAAGCCATTGTGTCACCTACTACATGGTCTGATCAAACTGATAAAGTGCTCGTACAGAAAAATATTTTTCTAGTTACCAGGAAGTGCAAACCTGTCTTGCCATGGAAATCATTTTTGTTGAAGTACTTCTTCAAAATTGTTTAACGTTGTTAAATCTTATATTTTGGTACTTCCGTAAGGTTAACAGCGTTTCACATTCATCCCAGAACCATGTTAGCCAGATTAGAAGAGATGGGCACAGATACAATGAACTATTGAGTCATTATTTAGGGTGTGATTTTTGTGGTGGTGACTTTTCTTTTTGTACAGTATTTCTCTGTTCATACTATGTGTTTAAGATGTGCTGCTCTGTGGCCATCAAATCACAGGTGTCTCTGTAAATATCCATTGTTAATTCATGTGACCTCTCAAGTCTGTAGTTATCTGGATCTGAGTAATGACGTAAATCCAAATCATTACTGTAAACATACAGTAAGTCCGGCTTTTTAGTAAAGGTTAACCTTCTTTCTGGAATATCCTCAGTTCTTTTGTGCCTATCTGTCTTTATTTCTTTTGTTTATTACATTGTCTAAATATTTTTCTGTGCACAAACTGTTTGTGTGACAGGTGGAAAGAGTGCTGTTCTGACAGCTCTCATAGTTGCTTTAGGTGGGAATGCACAGGCCACAAACAGAGGATCATCCCTCAAGGGTTTTGTGAAGGAAGGAGAAAGGTAATCCTTGCACCACATCATGTGATGTACACTTCTTTTTGTCTCTCCTTTTGAGACAGGTTATAGTTGCCTTTATGGGCCTGTCATTTGAGGCAGACTTCAGTGAATAAGCCCTTATGTTGCTGCTGCTCGGCACCTTAAAAGATTCTAGTGAAAACAAATCTCCTATTGTGGCTTCTTTGCTTACTGGAGGTACAAGTTTGTCTTTTCTCTTTGAGAGATGACTCTCAAATTCAATCTTAAATGTGAAATTGCAAAGGTGACTTCTATTACAAGTTGCATCACTTGTTTCTCTTTTTTTTGTCAGCTCTGCTGATGTATCGATCACCCTGCGAAACAAAGGAAGGGATGCTTTCAAACCTGAGGTGTATGGATCAGCCATCATTGTGGACCTGAGAATAACACGTGATGGGTTGAGAACCTATAAACTAAGGAGCAAATCAGGTAAAGACCATGAAAAGAAGATAAATACGTGCAGAGCACAAGAACAAATATGGTCACCAGTAAAGCTGAAACAACAAGTCAGTAATCAGAAAATTAGTTGGCAACTATTTTGGTAATGGGTTAATCATTTACAGAATTTGTAATGTTTAAAATGTTCACCACTTTCTGACAATTTATAGGGGAAACAGCTGGCAGATTGGTAGTCGATAAGGATTATACACTGATAATTGTATCCCTATTCAAGTCATGATGATGAAAAAGAGCTGAAGAGCAAAAGTTAAAATTAAAAAAGAAAACAAAGACCATGTTTTACAATTTTAGTACACAAATGACTACGTCCTGTAGATGCTTGAAGAATACTTTGAACTTTAGGGATTCATCTCCTCTTACAGGTCAACTTGTTTCAAACAAAAAGGAAGAGCTCCTGTCCATACTGGACAATTTTAACATACAGGTATGATCTATGCAAACCTTGTTAAACAATGTTATTTAAATTTTGTTACAACAAAATAAAATTTGCCTCTGTTACTGTGTTGGTGAGAGAGAGTCATTATTAACTAGTTTACTTCCAAAGGTCAACAATCCTGTGTCAGTTCTCACTCAAGAGATGAGCAAATACTTCCTCCACTCAAAAGGAGAAGGAGACAAATATAAGGTGCATTAATACATAACTACATTTTTTTTTATGACAATATTCTATCTGTTGTTTTGTGAACTGTGACTGATACAGATTTTGTAATTACACGCTGATTTTTCTTTTTTTCTTTTTTTTTTCTCTTGCAGTTTTTTATGAAAGCTACCCAACTGGAGCAGATGAGAGAGGACTTTGTCTACATCAAAACCACCAAGCATGTCACAGAGGATAAAGTTGGGCAACATAGTGAAGTAAGAATTAGTCTGCCTGAAATGTTCATATTTAAAGCAGCTTTAAACAATACTTTACAATAAAAGTGTGTCAGATGACAATGTGAAAGGGGTCACTTGTAGTAAGTTTGCAGCTCCACTTGGCTTCACAGATCTCAATAGCAAGTTTCAGCTCATTGTTTAGCTGTCTGGGGTCTCATTTATAAACAAAACAGGGCTGGAAACGTGCATACACCAATTCTCACCCAAAGGTTGTGATATATAAAAAGCAAACTTAGTGGCAGAATGTGCTGTCCTCCGTGCAAACTCTGAGCCATGCATACACAAATAAACTGGGGAAATGAGAAACGGCGAATCACATGGCAGAAGGATGAAACTGTTTGAAATGGATACTGTTTTTTCAAATAAATCAAAATATTACCTCTGAGTATTATAGGCCAATAAAACTTAACATAATATGAGTTAATTTGATGATGAATAAACAAACACCCGTTTGTTTGACAACATAATTTAAGATCATTTGCAGGGCACACAAAATAACGATGATTTAGGATAATAATCACAAACGCCTATGCATCTTGCATATGTGCGTCCCACTCCACCTCAGTCACTACTCAGTGGGATGCGCCTTCCTGCAGATCAGTCAACTAGGGGGTTGAGCTCCCAAGCCCCCTTTCCTCCTAAATTAGACCCCTGATCTGTAAATGGACTGTTTTGGTTCACTCTCACAGCATTGTTTTTAGCTGTTTTCAGCGTAAAAGGCTCTACAAAACCCACTACATACTACCTGCCCAGCACCAAACGTTAGACCGACAGTTTACATAGCTGGTCAACATAGTGGAGCATTTAGCAACTAAAGAGCCAGATATTTCCCTCAGGAGTTGAGACCACTGTAGAGACCCAAAAACAGAGCTATAAAAGAGTGAATACTGGAGTTGTATTTGCCAGGTGGCTGTGATTCCCACTGAATGCTAATGTTGCGCCTTAACTGCTCGATATGTCGATAATAAGCAACTGTCTGATAACAAGTTTTCCATATCAGCGTAAAGGTGATATGGCGTTGTTGTGTTTACAACTTGTTTCCGCTGCCAACAAGTGGCCAAAGAAATATTTGCAGATTTAACTATTCTACACTGTTGATTTGAATTTTGAGGGTTCATTTAGGGCTTGGCAATAAAACAATAATGTTAATTATCGCAATATAATTTTCCTCAATAACAACATAATAAATATATTGTCAATAAATATTTGCCTTAATTAATTTGAATCACAAACAAATTAACACAAAGAAAAGTTTAACCACATAATTAACCATCTGGTTTCTTCACTCAGGAGCAAAAATCAGCCTTGAAAAAAATTATTTGACAAATATCGTGATAATTATCGAATGATATGAAATGTTTTTATCATAACATTTTTGGCCATATCACCCAGCCCTAGATTCATTGTGGAAAAAAAATGTTTAATTCTTTAACTAGCATAGCTGCTTCTCTTTTTCAACCATGTTTTAGATGACCATATGTGATTATTATATGACTGTTACAGTGCTTGAAAGACTTGAAGCGGAAGTACATGGAGAAAGAGGACCGTTACAAGAGCCTGACATCATTAGATGAAATGCACACAAAGCTGGAAGAGTTGCAGAAGCAAATGGCTTGGGCTTTGGTGAGATAATTTACCCTTTTTTTTAAGGATTTTTAAGCCCCTTCACCTACTGCACTCTCACTACAAAACTAGATTAGTGCAATAATTACTTAAAATACAATTCATCTAAATAGTACTGACTGTGTGTTAAATGTTGCAGGTGAGTGAGTTGGAGAAGGAGACTGAGCCAATAAAGGAGAAGCTGCAGTCAGACAGACGTGCTACAGAGAAATATGATGAGAAGGTGGATGAGTGGAAGGTAAGATACGTCTCGATAAGATAAGTATTCACCTTAAAAATGATATAACATGAGTGTGATTCTCATCATCAAGAGTGATAATCTCTGAAAAGAAAATCATTTTTATTTTTTAAGATGACACGGCATCACCTCTTACCTCTAACCCCCTACATCTCTGATCTTTTTTTTTTTGTAATAATGCAGAAAAAGGTCGAGGAGGCTGAGAAGAAGCAAAAGCAGATCCAGGAACAGTTGGAGGGGATCACTCAGCAGCTCCAGGAGCTCCAGCCCAAATGTGCTGAGCTCAAGGCTGAGGTCCAAAGACAGAATACCCCTCTTAAGACGAGCGAGGTCAGAGTTCATACAATGCACCAGTCAGGCTGTAAGGCTGACAGCACTGTCAATGTCACTTTCAAATGAGCACCTGAAGTGATTTTAGCGTCAAAGCTGTAAAAAGAATGCAATGGAGAGATGTGACCTTCTTTTAAATTGTGTTAAGATTTTCACTGGTGTTCAGGTCTCCCAGCAAATTAGGTAGCTATGAAAATGGAAATAGGGCGATATATAAACGATTTATCTGTAATATATTTATGCAATTTAAAGTAACAGCTCAAAATTACTGTTCCAGTTGCTAACATGTTTTTATTTTATATGTTCTAGATAAACTCAAATTGAATCAGTATCTTTATTGAAAGCATAGTAAAAAGCTGTGTAGTGTGCATTGTCACTTTCTTTGTAGTTTTGGGTTTAGAGTTGATGTTATCATTGTGAGGCTTGTTGCGTTACTGACTGGTGCTTGTAATCTTAAATTATGTGTGCCAACTAGGTCACTGTCCATAGATGCAAGGCTAACCTGAGGGACCTTGAAAAGGACAAGGTTCAGCTGTCCACCAGGATAAATGATCTCAAGCTGAGGTACGACCTTATCTTGTTTTCATGTCTTCTGTGTTGCCTTTAAGTTTAAATGTATTTATTCTGAGTTGACTCCCCTGTGCTTTTTGTCCTTTCTCCAAAAAATTTTTTTTAAAAATTAATCCCCCTAGCATCAGTCAGACAACAGGTGCAGAGAGCCAGGCCAGGACGAAGCGTATGGAGCAGATACAGGCTGAGCTGGAAGACCTGACACACCAGATCTCCACCCTGGGCCAGCAGATTGACCAGTATCACCTCGCTTGTGGCCGTGCCAAAGAAGAACAAGGAAAAATGAGGTAGGAAAATAGAAACTGGACTGAAGATAAATTTATCATGCACATGCAAGTTTGGTTCCTGGGGTAGCTGAAGAATCTTCTTTCGCTGACCCTGTCAGTGAGTGATGAAGTTGAGAATTTGGTATTCCCTGGTCTCTTAGTCCCTTTTTTTAAAAAGTCCTCTCAGCAGCACCGAAACCGCCTCTGACATAATGACAACACCCACCTCCTTCTGTCTTCAGGAGAGAGCAGGAAATGCTCCAGAGGTCCATTGACGCCAACAGAAGAAATCTGCAGACAATGGAGAGCAGTCGGTCCAATCGCCTGCGCCGTTTTGGTGAGAACATGCCAGCACTGCTCAGCGCCATCCAGGAAGCCCTGAAAACGGGACAGTTCAAGCAGAGACCTCGAGGACCTCTGGGTAAGACCAGTTGTGCATAGGTGAAAATGTTTAACAAAATGTTTGTCACCTCAGTCTTGACACCTTTCACAGCATTTTGAACTGCATAATCATCCATATTGAGAAGAATGAAGAACACGTTGCATGGTGGTATTTAGGCATGGGCCAGTATGAAATTTTCACATCATGATAGCCTTATTATTATCTTGAAAGTCCGTTGCTCACTGGCTCTGAATACACATACAGTCAAACCATGGGTCACAGGATGGGAGGGATGTTGATCAACCTGCAAATCACCCACCCAAGCAAGCAGTGGAGGGAGGCTTCGGCAGACTATGTTGGATGCAGCGTGTGGGAGAAGTAGATAAACAAAAGCAGGACAAGCGATCAAATGGCATAGCGAAGACGATAGCTACACACTGCATGCTGATTAGTATTGGGGAAGATGTCTATGAAGATTCTCAGTCATCCAGGTCATAGTTATCCAACGAAGGATTTTAACTGAGTTAAAAATAGCTGAGTTTCCCTGCCAGTCAGTCAGAACTGAAGAAGTCCTTTGGATGAGGGACGAAACGTCTTCCAGTATCTTCAACCAAGTCCAGTTGCCCTTGATTTTAACCTTCGTTGGATATTGGGGAAGATGTCGATCTTAGGAAAGTTGTTAAAAATCACAACGTAGTCGCTTGGCGCCGCGGGGTTGGTCTTTGCTCCTGTGAACAGAAAGGGACACGGCGCTCAGAGAGTAAACGGCAGGCATGGAGAGTAACCATGGCCACGGCTTCTGTGCGCTACACTGCTGTAGACTAAGTAACTTACAGCTGGGCAGTATATTTTGGACGCACGGACCAGGTAAAGTGACAGTGAACACAATAGTGCAGATGTAATTTATTAGCTACCATGTTGGTTTTGTTTTGAAAGGCTAACATGCGGCGCAGCTGTTGCTGTGAACGGAATCGCGGGAGGAAAAGTCCAAAAGACAAGTTCTGTTTTTCGGCGACTTTATACAACGTAGCCTACTACTGATGGAGACAGTTACCAGGGAGACACTGAAAGAAACGGGGCACACTGACGTGTTTGCAGCAGAGGTACGTTAGGTCTGTGAGTGTGAAGAAGGAGGAAGATTCACTAAGTGAGTGACACTTCCTACAAATGGTAAAAACATGCCCCTAAAACCAACCCCCCCCCCCCCCCCAGACAATTTAGCAGAAAATACCAATATATATTTTATACCGGAGTTCTGCCTAACAGTACCAGGATATGACTTTTTGGTCCATATCGCCCAGCACTAATTAACTTTTAAAATATAAAATTAAATTAAAATTATACATAACTTTATGTGATAGACCTTCATCTAGTTTTGTGGGAATGCTCTGCCATGCGAATTCCCTCCTGTTGATGACCTATTTATTAAACAGTAATAGATTCTGGAAAAAAAAAAGTGAGGATAAGTCTCTCTTCCAATGATTTGTGCTCCGAATCACATACTAAAAGTTCAAGATAAATCAACTTCGGCGGTGGGCCGGCGTGTTCGTGAGGCGAGCACTTCACCTCACTCTAACAGGACACTTACTACTGAACATACACTGTTTATGCTGCTCCCTGATCAGAAAAAAAAACATTAATCACAGAAAATCATGCGATTAATCACGATTAAAACATTTTAATCATTTCCCTGCACTAATTATTTTTTAATGTCTGGGTAAAAAAACTAACGTTTTTCCACTGAACGCAATAAATTAAAGTTTTAAGCAACAACATATACTACTGGTGCTGCTAAGAATAATATCAAATGACACTATAAAATTGATTATTGTTATTTCAGTGTTTATGCACATATACCATAGACGTATAACGTTACACATACGGAGAGAGAGAGAGGGAGCACAAGTGTGTGTCTCTCACACACGCACGCACCTGTCTGTTGTATGATCTCTCTCCGTACAAATAGACAGTGGAAAAGTTGTTGAGACTGTTAACAATGTACACAATGGCGGAAGACAAGTAAAGATGTGATACTGGCTAAATTTTAAACATAATTCTAGATTTTATAAGTAACTGAGGGGTAAAACTTAGCCGTGTTATCTGCCTCGTTTGCAAGCCAGTGCTAAACACACTAACTCTCTTAGCTTGTTGCAAATGTGCATTTCAAGATGGTGGTGGCGTTGGGGCAGTGGATAGGACACATGCCTCTGGTGTGGGAGACCCGGATTCAATTCCCAGTGCGACATCAACCAATGTGTCCTTGAGCAAGACACTTGCGCCTTGTTATACCAAACAATTGTAAGTTGCTTTGGATAAAAATGTAGTGGAGGGAGGCTTCGGCAGATGGGCTGATTTCTCACCTTTCTTAGGATCATTGAGACCCCACGAGGTGAGATCTTGATCTTGATCTTGAGATCTTGGAGCCCCAGTCCGAGGGAGACTGACAGTCATGTTTAGCTTCTTCCATTTTCTAATGATTGCTCCAACAGTGGACCTTTTTTCACCAAGCTGCTTGGCAATTTCCCCGTAGCCCTTTCCAGCCTTGTGGAGGTGTACAGTTTTGTCTCTAGTGTCTTTGGACAGCTCTTTGGTTTCAGCCATGTTAGTAGTTGGATTCTTACTGATTGTATGGGGTGGACAGGTGTCTTTATGCAGCTAACGACCTCAAATAGGTGCATCTAATTTAGGATAATAAATGGAGTGGAGGACATTTTGAAGGCAGACTAACAGGTCTTTGAGAGTCAGAATTCTAGCTGATAGACAGGTGTTCAAATACTTATTTGCAGCTGTATCATACAAATAAATAGTTAAAAAAATCATACATTGTGATTTCTGGGGGGTTTTTTTTAGATTATGTCTCTCACAGTGGACATGCACCTACGATGACAATTTCAGACCCCTCCATGATTTCTAAGTGGGAGAACTTGCAAAATAGCAGGGTGTTCAAATACTTATTTTCCTCACTGTATGTAAAATTTATCATTGAAAGCTGGCCAGGAAAAAGGTCTCGCTCTTTTTATGTACAAAAATGCACTTTTCTTTTATATTTCCTTTCCTTCCACAGGTTACCTTATTAACCTAAAGGATCCAGAGTTGGCCCTGGCTGTAGAAGTATGTGTTAAAGGCCAGCTGAATGCCTTTACCTGTGATAACCACGAGGATGAGAAGGTGCTACAGGGCCTCATGGGCGAAGTGTTCCCTCCTGGCCGTAGACCTGCCATCATAACAAGCCATTTTCTCCCACATGTCCACGATACAAGAAAGAGGTGAGGCCGTATTGAAAATTCACAAAGCATTTATTAAAAGCTTGTCAAGGTTTTAATAGTGCATTGACTTGGGGCCGGGTTTGTGGAAATACTATGACAGTTTGAAATTAATGATGCCACACGAGTAATTTGAGAAATGCATGTGGATGTTTTTATGCTTTTATTCTGCTCTGACAGCTTGTAAAAAATGGAGTGCTAGTTGGCATGGAATCAAGCCAACCACAGGAGGTGTGGAGTATCTGATTAAACGTAATATCTGAAAATTCCCTAATAAATAGTATGTTTTGTCTTTGTGTCAGGGCTGTGAATCACCCCGATTACCCCTCCGTGCTTCAAGCTCTAGAAATTGACGACCCAGTTGTGGCCAATTGCCTGATTGATCAAAGGGGTATAGAGAGCATTCTCCTCATTAAGGTAACAACCAGAAAAGTCCCAGTAACACAAGATATGCAGCCATGTGTTTGAAGCTGATGTAAACAATCTGCCAAGTTACATATATCTTTTGTGAATGATGTAATGCAGTATACAATAGAAAATACATATATTGCTATATATATAACAGAAAACAACAATATAACCCATAAAAACTGGGTTCAGATTTAGCACTTCTAATGGAACTTATAAAGCTGTGTGTGTGTGTGTGTGTGTGTGTGTGTGTGTGTGTGTGTGTGTAGAATCGTACAGAGGCCCGGAAAGTAATGCAGGGAAAAAGCCCTCCACTGAACTGTACCCAGGCCTTCTCGAAGGAGGGAGATCAGATCTTCAGTAACCGCAGTTACACTGCTGAGCAGACTAGAGCCAACTACCTCTCGGGAGATGTTGAGGAGGAGATAAGGTGGGTGTTGACTGCCGTGGTTTCAACATGATAGGGTTTGTCATAGAAACCATATCTTGTTATATTTAGAAAGACAGTTTATAGACGATTGTCTTGTCTTCTGTCTTAATATCCTGGGTTTCTTTCACCCCGTCGTCTCCTCTCTTGGTTCCTCTCTTTTTCTCAGGCACCTACAGAGGGAGATCGAGAATCAGAAAGGTCAGGTGACTCGCTTCCAGCTGCAGATGAAAAGGTTAGATGAAGACATCAAACAGAACGATGGTCTGCTGAGAAGAACCACCGTAGAGCAGAAGACAACCAAAGTAATACTTTTTACCTCTCACAAATCATTATTCATCTCTTTCTGACTCCAGGGTAGAAGTATGAGGATCATAACATTTTATCAGACCTTATCTTACCTTAAAATTGTAGCTCATACTGAATAGGTTTCTTTATTATTTGAAAACAAAATGTCTATAAACCCAAATCATTTTTTCTTATTCTATATTTTCTGTTTCAGTACAATTCAAAATGTTTTGTTTGGGGGTTTGTTTGTTTGTTTTGTTTTTTTTGCAATATTTCAGAATTTGTCATTTAATACCGTAATTGAAACACAGATTCATAAATGTAAAATAAACACAGTTGGAAAACTGCTAAATTAAAAATGCATTTCCAAATCAAATTTCTAGTGTTCTCCTCTGATATGATAAGGAACGTTTCTGATGAAGTGTGTGGATCTCTTCTAGGAAAAGGCAACAAAGCTACAGCTGGAGCTGACAGACCTACAAAATGTGGAAGAACCTCAGTCAGAGGACCTCAGGCCCCTGGTTTGTATAGATTAATGCAGTACAAACGTCAGACCTGATAGACTTAAATTGTACTTAATTGTACTTAATTGACTCTACTACAGGAGGAAGATCTTCAGGAGATTGTTGCCAAGATCTCATCCAAGCGGGCTGAATTAGATGAGGCACAAGCTCAGATGGCTAAGCATAAGGCCTCCTATGAGAAGGCAGAGCAGAAGTACAAGCAGCACAAAGAGCAGATCAACATAGTCGCTGAGGAGGCCGACTCAATAAAGGTGAGAACTATCGGCTGACCCCAGTCACTGGATTTAAGAAAGATTCAAATTGGCACCTTGGATTTCATTTTAAGTAAATCTTGCAATTCTACCTGTGGAATTCCCAAATCGCAACATGTGAAACAGCTTTTCTGCCTCTACATTTTTTAATGTCCTCCAGTTTTTGTACTAAATATAACATCAAGACCCTGTAAATACTTTTGTTTGAGGCAGTCTACAGCAGAGACAGCCAGCTATGTGGCAGTGGGGTACTAAGAATAATAATGTAAGATTTATTTTGATCTATGCACAGGATTTCCAAATCGTTCTGATTTGAAAACGCATTGCGGTTTTCATTTTCAATCAGAAATTGACTTAAGTACTGATGTGTTGACTGCACCATATGTGCCAATGGATACAGTGTAGAGAGCTGCATTGGGATTGGGTCCTGCGGGATCCAACACAAATCACGGGGGAGCAGGCAGTTTTAAATGTGCTGCAGGTGGTTAAAAAATATACTGCGGGTCCCGCAGTGGCGCTGATAAGATGGAGTCATCAAATGAAGTTGAAAAGAAGATTAAAAACAGTACATGCGACTACTCAGGAGAACGTACTTCGCGGGCCTGACTCGAACCAGCAGCCTCCAGTACGGGACGAGGGCGCTAAACCCCTTGATCATTGACGTCAGTCGCCAGTATGTCTCCTAAGGTGTCGGGAGTAAGGTTTACTCAGTGCACAGCCTCGCTGGTTTCCGTCACACTGCCGTTTAGCATAGCACAAACATTTGTGTCCTTTTTTTTACTCTGCATGTCACAATGTTTGCGGGTGCGGGCGGGAGTGGATAAACATTTTGCGGGAGCGGGTGGTAATGGTCATAAAATCAGCGGGAGCAGGATCAAGAAAACAGTCCCACTCAGGTCTCTAATACAGTGCACAAGTGGCACATTTTAGCCTCATATGTAATTTTACTTTTTGTTTCAAATGTAAGTTCAACGCACTTGTCGGTGCAAACATGTTCAGCAGCTCAGGTTTGTGGTGGTGTGGAGGTTTGAGGTTTAATTAAATTCCCAGTGGTATTTCAGGTCCTGGGGAGAGAATTGAATATATTCCATGGAAGGGCTTTTCCTGACAAAGCGCTGCAAACGGCTTTAAGTTTACATTAATGTAAGAATGACCTTGGAAT